GTATGTATGTATGTATGTATGTATGTATTAATGTAATGTATGTATGTATGTATGTATGTATGTATGTATGTATGTATGTATGTATGTATGTATGTATGTTATGTTTGTATGTATGTATGTATGTATGTATGTATGTATGTATGTATGTATGTATGTATGTATGTATGTATGTATGTATGTAATGTATGTATGTATGTATGTAATGTATGTATGTATGTATGTATGTATGTATGTATGTATGTAATGTATGTATGTATGTATGTATGTATGTATGTATGTATGTATGTACATTATGTATGTATGTATGTATGTATGTATGTATGTAATGTATGTATGTATGTATGTATGTATGTATGTATGTAATGTATTGTATGTATGTATGTATGTATGTGTGTATGTATGTATGTATGTATGTATGTATGTATGTATGTATGTATGTATGTATGTATGTAATGTATGTATGTATGTATGTATGTATGTATGTATGTATGTATGTATGTATGTATGTATGTATGTATGTATGTATGTATGTATGTATGTATGTATGTATGTATGTATGTATGTATGTATGTATGTATGTATGTATGTATGTATGTATGTATGTATGTATGTATGTATGTATGTATGTATGTATGTATGTATGTATGTATGTATGTATGTATGTATGTATGTATGTATGTATGTATGTATGTATGTATGTATGTATGTATGTATGTATGTATGTATGGTATGTATGTATGTATGTATGTAATGTATGTATGTATGTATGTATGTATGTATGTATGTATGTATGTATGTATGTATGTATGTATGTATGTATGTATGTATGTAAGTAGTAATGTATGTATGTATGTATGTATGTATGTATGTATGTATGTATGTATGTATGTATGTATGTATGTATGTATGTATGTATGTATGTATGTATGTATGTATGTATGTATGTATGTATGTGTATGTATGTATGTATGTATGTATGTATGTATGTATGTATGTATGTATGTATGTATGTATGTATGTATGTATGTATGTATGTATGTATGTATGTATGTATGTATGTATGTATGTATGTATGTATGTATGTATGTATGTATGTATGTATGTATGTATGTATGTATGTATGTATGTATGTATGTATGTATGTATGTATGTATGTATGTATGTATGTATGTATGTATGTATGTATGTATGTATGTATGTATGTATGTATGTAATGCATGTAATGTATGTATGTATGTAATGTAATGTAATGTAATGCAATGTAATGTAATGTAATGTAAGGTAATGTATGTATGTATGTATGTAATGTATGTATGTATGTATGTATGGATGGATGGATGTATGTAACGTATGCATGTAATTTATGTATGTAATGTAATGTAATGTAATGTAATGTAATGTAATGTAATATAATGTAATGTAATGTAATGTAGTGTAATGTAATGTATGTTTGTCTTTATGTATGTATGTATGTATGTATGTAATGTATGTCTGTCTGTCTGTATGTATGTATGGATGTATCCTTGCACTTTCCCTTTGCTCCCCATTATTTCCCTCAAAAAACACGGTTTTTCCAGCGTTTTCGCAAAGAGGATGTCCAAAAACACCGAGTTTTGCCAGATTTTCGTCAAAAGGATGCAGGAAGCCCAAGCCAGCAAAAAAGCCGGCAGGGGGAATCGAGCCTGGGACCCCTGTTTTGCGACACCGGCTCCCCCAAGACTACGTTTAGTGGAACGTCATCAAATTGCCGCGCGGCACGTGCCCCCCCCAAAAACCTACGTATTTGACGTTGGGCGGGGGGTAAGGGGGGGGGGGGGTATCCTCTATCCTCTAGTACGTATCCGACACGCCGAACAATGTCGGCGGACTTCGCCACTGGTTCAGCAAACTGGGTAATGGCGGACCCTGTGGTGGAGGTGTCCACCAACCACTTGCATGGTTCCGCATCGCTGTAGCATTCATGGCCAACTCTGAAAATAGGAGTCTTCTTGCAAACAAGTTGAGAAATCATCTTCATATCAGAGCCCCAAGTCGGGGATGCACACCAACGACTTTGAGAGGCAGATGTGAGCATTTCAGGGACCGCACCCAGCATAGCCTGCTTCGGACACTAGTTGAAAGACATGAATATATACATATATACACATACACTATGTATGTATATATATACATGTATACACAAGAGATTGGCTGAAGCAGCTCTACCTTGGGTAGGACTTCCCCCCGAAACTCATGTTTGCGTGATCCCGCAGCACATTCCGGCAGCCCGCCCGAAGATGCGAAGAGGGAAGGCTTCAGATGCCAGGCTGCAGGCCCAGCTGAGCCAATACCAGCAGGAGCAGGAGGAGAAGCGCTTGGCCAAGGCAGGAGATGCACACATTGATGTGTCACAGTTTTTTGTTCCAATCCCGCCCTTTTTGGAGTTTTGAAGGGAGACCACAGGGAAACCCACCTTTTTTGAGACACACCCATATGGACCAGAATTTGAACGTGTTTGGGTGGTCATAGTGGCGGAAAAGCGTGCCTATGCTTACCGAATGCCCTTGTAGTTCACGCTGTGGACCACTGGGTAGATGCGATCACACTTCTACGGCAGCCACATAGAACCTGAGAGGGGCCTTGATTGAATGGAGTCCAACTAGTGAACGGAATTCATTCAGGTGTCACCCTTCGTCCTTCCCTGCAACAATGATGCTTTGTGGCAACGTGCTGCGTGGATGGGTTGCTTTGGCTTCACAAGCGATGAAAGGTTCCGTTTGGTGATGATCTTGATATTTGAGAGGCTTGGGATTTCCAACAAAGCAGTTCGTGTGTGGATTGGCTATTCATCAGCCACTGCTTGCTCAGGAGGAGGAGGCTAGACGCCGGAGGCACGAGTGGGGATGGTGAATACATTCTTTGCACAAGAGGGCAGCTTTGCCCCTGGAAGGTTACCTCAGCCCAAGAAGGGGGCCCTATGGAAATGCTTCTTTCTGAAGTGATCATGATTTCACATTCCTCGTCGGAGACTCCTTCCAGGCATGCTCCTGCCATCCACACGGCCAAGCACTACTACCTTTTTTCCTGTTGGCACCCTCAGAAATGCTCCGCTTGACACCCTGACAAGGCTTCACCTGCTGGTGATGAGGCCTATGTAAGGCTTGACAAGCGTCCAATTGTACCCAACATCCCTCAACAAGGCTACACCTTCTTCGAATCCCTCTGTTGGAGTCTACCTCCAGCGAAACCCTGTTGACCACGCACCGGTCGAACTCCCGTCGAATTCCCATTCCCCGGTCCAAGCTTCGTCAAAACTGGCGGTTGAAACCTTGATTTGCCTGTCAAAAAATGCTCCTGACGTTTGGCCCCCGTCAAAACCATTCATTGAAATCCCACCGAAGACCCTGCTGCGCAGCCCTGTCGAATTCCCAGCCAACGTGGCCTCCATCGAATCCCCCAGTCGGGGGTTGAAGTCTGGGAAATGCTCGAGCTCCTGTATCAGTTGGGTTAGACACATCGTGTCTTTTTTCCCTGAGTCAGAAACGATTGAGGTCATGAACACCGGCAGTGCGGGTCAGGAAAATATGGTCCAAAGATTAGGCGCGAGTCTCGAGGACATTCTTTGCACAAAAAAGAACTCCTCCATACAACCCACGCACTCAGTTTTGACAGAATTTGGGACCATCTTCACAGACTACTGTTGGCGTTGGTTTGGCACGCCTGGGATATTTGCTTTAGCTCCTGAAACCTTGGGCCTTCGGGCCTTGGCACACGCCGGCCGGCGCCGTCTGTGAGGGCTGAGAAGCTGGCTGCGCAGCCGGCCGCCGTGGCCGCCGCCCGGGCGGCGGCGGCGGGTGCGGGCGTCTCTGCGGCGGGGCTGGCGGGTGGGATGGCTCAAAGAAAGCAGTCAAACGTACGTCAATGTATGAAGAAACCAGAAATCATGATTGAAGACATATTTTTCAAGCAGAGAATCTGTCAAAACAAGAGATGCTGCCAATTCGGTTGGTTGCTTGGTTGAATTGCTTTGGTAGTTTTCTCCAATTAAACAGCTACTGTACTTCTTTGCTAGCTTTGAAGAGGAAGCATGAGAAAGATTCTGAACACCACACCACGGGCCCCATTCTCCGGCGAAGCAAGAATACACTGCTACCCACGAATATGCAAATTTATGGAATTTGGAATGCGACTTGCCATTTGTCTTGCTGCGACTTGCTAGTTTCCGAATCCGACGTACCATTTGTCCGGCTGCGCCTATTCATCCTGTTCATTCAAGACATGTTTGCGTGTCATCTTCCCGAATGCTTGCCCGACAACCTCCACCAGTTTGCTCAAGATTGCGTGACGAGACTCATAGAATGCAATATGCACAAACGGAACCCCTCGTATCATTCATGCCATGTCTCCACTCGTCTCCAGATGCACGCAGGAGGCTGCGAAGGTGGCTCAGCTGCTGGCCCTGAGGCGCTTCAGTTTCCGGTTCTTTCCAGTTTCGGAAAGATTCAGTTTTAGGATTCCTTCAGTTTGTCGGATTGGCGTCGTCTTTTCCCACGCTGTAAGCAGCTCGCACCTCGCCTGACGTCCCCTGTGCTCATGCTGCGCATGGGACTCTTGATCCGACGTTATGTGCTCAAAACAGGGCAGAGCTCGGCTGAGGTGATTTAGGGTTCTGCTAGACGCTTAGCACCTAGTTGGAGCAATGAATCCAACCAAAGCCAACACTCCCCACTTCAAGGCATGTTCGCTATGAATCAGCTGTGCGTGTTGCGCAATGTATTTCTATTTTGAGAGTTTAGGCTCCAGCATCTAGCATGCTGTCGTCCAGTCCGCGGCTGCTGTCGTCCAGACGGTTGCCGGCAGTTGTTCTTTTGCCAGGGAGCCGCCCGCGGACGCGCTGGAACAGGACAGCACCTTCCTGATCTCCCTTGAGGCTGGTGAAAGGAGGGAGGCGAGTGATGGTGCCAAAAAAGGAGGGGCTCCCTTCGTCTCACAGCACCATATCCAAAGCCGTGGCGTAGCATTCCCGAGCATGGTACTATTTTGCCACAGGCCACGTTCAAGATTTGATAGGTAGCTGGCCAACAACAGCAAGGATTTGTGTGTGTGTGTGTGTGCACCGGCGATTCAAAGCTCGAAATGTGTGACCTTGCTGCATAGGCATGGCAAATTGTTGCCTTCCATCGCCGGAGTTGCAATTGGCTAACATCGAAGAACTCGACCTTCAGTTTGGGATGACTTGGCTGGTTTCTACATGAGCTCACGTGCCTTGAGACTTGTTTGCAACGCAGCCTACCCCTTCCATTGTCCCTTTGCCGGTCCATTGTTCAGTGCTCAGTGCGAGTCGTCCGCCCTTCGATTCTGTTCTCGCCTTGGTAGCCCTTGCCTTATCTTGTCTTTGGCAACGGAATCAGGCAATTCTGCCAGGAAGCAAACATGGCAGTGACTCAAATTGAGGCATCAGCTATCGACGAAGTGGATATGTCAAGCCAAGGCTGCGTAAGTGTGCCCTTGCCAGTTTCCCGTCGCTGGCTCATCTCTGAGATTAGCGGAGACAATTATTGCTGTTGCGAGCCTTGTCAGCCGCAAGGATGGGGCAACCATCCGCTGGACCAAAAGGTGCGGCGCTCATATCATGCGCCTGATGTCAGATGCTTGAACCCTCGAAACTTCAAGTGCAGTCAATGACATGGTTTAGCAGCGACGTACATAGAACTCATATAGCGCCCTTCTGAGAAACTCTTTGTTTTTGTGCCGCGCCCGTGCATCAATATGTACAGCACTTTTGGGCTACACTTTGGCCGCTTCTGGGCCACTTCCCAAATAGTTCAACACCACTGTCAAAGATATCTTGCTTCCAGCTACAGCCTCACCTACCCTCCCACCAATTAACATGGAACCTGACAGGGGGGTCCTGGAAGACCAGTTGCCTTTTAAAGGGACCCTCTTGCAGGTTCCATATTGCTTGGTGGGAGGGTACATTGTTCAGCCACCAGCCTTCAGCACCCTTCAACATGATGCTTCGGAGCAAACACACCCTTTGATTGGGCCAACGTGCAAGCTCTTGGTATGGCCTTTGGCCTGAAAGTGAGACGATCAGCTTCGATTGTATTGACGTCCGGTCGTGCGACTTCCGCCTGCATGTTTGTGTTCGGGATAGCGAACTGCAGCAAACCTGCTTGAATTTGTGAATGCGAGGATTGCGAGGTCCAGTCCCAAAGTCCCAGGGAACGAAGCAGCCATCGCCATTGCCGAGTCTCGGACCCAGGCCTGATGGCACCTGGCGCAAGCCCGAGCACCGTCGCGCCGGCTGGGCGGGGGCCACCCAGAACCTAGAGCGCGGGCGGGTTAGCGAATCGGCCCGTTGCAGAAAGTTGTAAATCTCCATCTTTAGCAATTGGCGAGTTTTATGAATATGCAATGAAATGCCAGAATGCAACAACAGCCATAGCAGCCTCAAAATGGTTTTCATACATTCAGATATCAATTCCAGATGTGAATGGGCCAAAGTCAAGGAGTCGTCAATCCACAACACGGTTACTTACATTGGGCTTCCTCACTTATTCGAACACACCAAGATCTGGCAATGTGAAGATGGCTGTTTGCCAGCCTTCAGGTGGGCGACCTTGAGCAGGCAAAGTATGTGCCGCCAACCGCTCGGCTCCCGAGATTGTCATGCTTTGTTTGGGTTCGCACTTGGGCACGGGCTAAATTCTACTTAAACCATCATTGTCTAGGCTGTGCAGTTGGGCGTATATAGAGTTGGTTGTTGCCTGAGAAACAGCACTTGAGGAACCAAAAGGCACGCAGCCGTTTGGGGCCCGCTACTTCCCCTTCGTCGTATGCTGCTTTCCAGTGGAGCAGCTTGAGTTTCGGGAGAACACGCTGTTTCATTGACCCACCAGTGAAAAAGGGCTTCATGCGATAAATGCGAGGAAAACAAGGTTGAGACATGCAAAGGCAGTTGGATGGACCAGATATTCTTTGCCGACTCCTTGCCAAATAGTGAGATAAGCCACAATGCTTTGGCAGATGGCCTCAGCGGAGATCCAGATCTCAGAGATGCCACCATCAAATTGCAGTTTGACTCACGCTGGGTTGCAGTGTTTTCATATTGTGGCGGTCATTGTTAAGTTAATAGTGACTGTCATGCCATATGCCATATTTTAAGAAGGAGACTGGCTTCAAGAGAATGCTTGCCCCAGAGCCTACAGTCTCCACTTGTTCGGAGATCTGAGCGTTTTCTCATCTTTACGAGCACTAAAGCCACTGGACATGATAGCTGCTAAGCAGGAATGCCTTTCTGTCACTTTCGGTCAATTGACATAGCCTGTTGCCCCATCTTCAGTACTCAGGGCTGAGACACTGAACAGGTTCCATTCATTACTTCATTCGAACCGACCGTCATGCAAGTGTGCTTTGTACATTTGCCCACCGCTTGTCACCAAAGAAGCCGCGTAGGCCATGCACACATACACATACAGAGACCCAGTGTATGACGGAATGTCAATCCTTTACTGGTTTTTTGCAGCAGTGTCCCTTCCAAGTGAGCCTGGAATCATGCTTGGGCCTTTGGTGGTGCACTGGAGTTGTACCCGGAGCTTCAGGTGTATATTTGTTAAAAGCCACCCTCCAGCGCCCTATGCAAGGTCCGGCTCCTGGAGGATGCGGGCATCTCTGGCGAGACCCGGGCCTCCCTGCGGTGTCTCGATGCCAGGGCCGCGCAGAAACGTGTCGTGGGCATTCTGGTTGGAGCTGAGTTTTGTTTGGCCATGGACATCCATGGGCTCATGGAGTGAACTGAGCGGAAGCACCCCTTTCGCAATGAAGTTGAGAGACAGCTGGACGGAATACATTTGGCCTCGCTAAATGTACCTCTGAAGCAGTGCCCTCGTAAGCCAATTCGCCTTGATCTTTAGCCTTCTCGATGGTATCATTCTAGTTGGTGAGTGGGTACCTCCCTGAAGTTCTGGAAGTAATATCTGCAACTGCAACTATTACGCAGTTCTGGCACCAAGCAACTGCGCAGATGAAGGTGGAGTCGGAGAGCAACAGCACAGACTCGAATGGCTGCTCCAAGCACTACGCCGCAAGCATTTGTGGTGTTACTACAGAGAGAGCGGAGATGTCTGATTCGGATCATATTTTGACATTGGAGCCGACGAGGCGGATTACGACCGGGACATCCCCCTCCGCAGTCCTGCCCAGCTCTCGGTAGTGTACTGACTGAAAGAGATTGCAGGAGACACTCCAATGTAGGGTTTAGGGGTTGGAGAGCCATATCGGGAGCAATTCGACGCAGGGCTATCCAAATGGGCAGAAGGCGGGCGGCTCCAGTTGCACGCACTCTTCACGTTGCTTGACCTGTCGATTCGCAAGCTGGCAGCTAAGCCCAGGCAGCTTTGCTCGTCTTGGCTGCAAGTTCGGTGGATTGGCAGTGATTTACAAAATCCTGGATCCACAAGATGCTCTGAGCTACCATGGGCCAAGAATAGAAGAAACGGCCACACTGAGTTCAAAATAGTGGGCTACAGTGGGCTATGGTGCGCAATTTCTTTGCTGGTGGGCTATGCTCGATCTGCGTAGATGGCACTGCTTTGCGTTGACCGTGCGCTCCGCCGGTGTGGAGGCGCCTGCACCTGCGATGCAGGAACGGCGGGTCATGCAGGCGCGGTCGAGCGCTGTTCTGAACCACCAAGCTGTGAAAATGCATGGACCTGCCTCGATGCTTGCCTTCTCAATAGTTAGGGGCAGGCAATCAGAAGCAAGCCACGCGGTGTGTGCTAAACACCGACTTCTTTAGGGAAAAGCGGGTGTAGGGTTTCCAGTTTCCACGGAAATCGTTGCTTTGATCCTTCATTGGGAGGGCATCTACTGTAGAAGCTTTTAATTATTCCCCAAACAGTTTACTGTGAGGGGTTCTAAATTCATTTAAAGTGACTCGCCTATTGCCAAGCCATAGCCTGGATGCCTGGCACGGCTCTGTGCTGGACGGGTTCATTTGTCTCCCTTTGTCTCCCTTCATTTGTCTCCCTTTGTCTCCCAGCCTGGATGCCTGGCACGCTCTCTGGGTAGACAGGTTCACTTGTCTCCCTTTGTCTCCCTGCATTTGTCTCCCGTTGTCTCCCAGCCTGGATGCCTGGCACGGCTCTCTGGGTGGACAGGTTCACTTGTCTCCCTTTGTCTCCCTTCATTTGTCTCCCGTTGTCTCCCAGCCTGGATGCCTGGCACGGCTGTCTGGGTGGACGGGTTGATTTGTCTCCCTTTGTCTCCCTGCATTTGTCTCCCATTGTCTCCCAGCCTGGATGCCTGGCACGCTCTCTGGGTGGACGGGTTGATTTGTCTCCCTTTGTCTCCCTTCATTTGTCTCCCGTTGTCTCCCAGCCTGGATGCCTGGCACGGCTGTCTGGGTGGACGGGTTGATTTGTCTCCCTTTGTCTCCTCTGGGTGGACGGGTTGATTTGTCTCCCTTTGTCTCCCTTCATTTGTCTCCCGTTGTCTCCCAGCCTGGATGCCTGGCACGGCTGTCTGGGTGGACGGGTTGATTTGTCTCCCTTTGTCTCCGTTCAGTTTTCTCCCGTTGTCTCCCAGCCTGGATGCCTGGCACGGCTCTCCCAGGGTCTTCGGTGATTTTGGTTTCCAAGAATTGGCGCGTAGGTTGCTGCGATGGGCTTTGTGTGGCTTTCAGTTCTTACTTAGCACCTGAAGCCAGCCCGCACGTTTTGTCAAATCCACACAGATGGTCGCCGTGACTCCAACAAATCTAGCAAGGCTGTGCAGTTAATTTGCTTCCGCTCTCCTCGACATGCAATTACCATGGAAGGCGATTTGCTGGACAAACGGGAGGCTGGCAGGGATGCCTTGTACCGAGCATACGGAAGAATAGGGTTGCGTATTTCCTTGCGAAAGCAAATGCTTTACTGAATCGATGCGAAGAGTTGCCACAATACGATAGACGATAAAGGCACTTTAGAGCGTTCTATCGAGCAACAGATTACTCGATACGAAAGACACTGTGCAGCCAAGCAAGAAAGAGCAATGCGCCGGAAAGCTTTTGCTAAGATGAAGCCTGCAAATGCTGGAGACGCACCCGACACTGATAGTATTAGCAGTAGTAGCAGCAGCAGCAGCAGCAGCAGCTCGCGCGCTAGCAACGTGTTGCAAAATTGCTAGATTGATCGCACACGAACACTGTTTTCCTACTTGGAACACGCATATAAAACACAAGCGTTGTTCAAGGCAGAGCCCCATGGAATTGCGCCTCGCAGCCGGCTTCGGGAACTTTATTTAGGTGTCGCGCAGGCGTGCAGAGAATGTAAGCTCCATGTGAACACATTTTTGTTGTCCAGATGAACGCATGTGCGCTGCGTAATTGTTTGCAGGCGTGCAGAGAATGTAAACTCCATGTGAACACATTTTTGTTGTCCAGATGAACGCATGTGCGCTGCGTAGTTGTGTTGCACATGTTTCTCCACATGTGCACATACGTGTGTTCCATGTGTACACATATGTGTGTTACAAGTCAGCACGCAAGTTTGTTATGGTTAAACATGTTTGTGTGATCCAGGTCTGCACCAGTGTTGCGCAAGTGAGCGCATGTATGGGTTCCACGTGAACACAAATGTGTGTTGCAGGTGAACAGAAATGTGCTTTCCAGACATACACACATATGTGTTCCAGGTGTACGCATGTGTTTGTGTGTGTTCCAGGAACACATGTTTGTTCTCAGACGAACACGCGTGTGTGTGTGTGTGTGTGTGCGTGTTCCGGGTGTGCGTATATGTGTGTGTTTGCGTGTACACATATGTGTTTTCCACGTGTACACATTTCTGTGTTCACGTGTACACATATTTGTCCCACGTGTACACTATACACTTCTGTGTTCCAACTAGACACGTGTTTGTGTTCCAGGAGAACACGTGTTTGTTATCAGATGAACGCGTGTCTGCTCCGCACGCACATGTATGTGTGTTCACGTGTGCACATGTGTGTCTCCCACGTGTACACATTTGTGTTTAAGTGTGCACACATGTGCGTTCCAACTGGACACGTGTTTGTTTTCCAGGAACACATGCTTGTTATCAGACGAACACGCGTGTGTGTGTGTGTGTGTGCGTGTTCCGGGTGTGCGTATATGTGTGTGTGTTTGCGTGTACACATATGTGTGTTCACGTGTACACATCTGCGTGTTCCACGTGTACACATTTGTGTGTTCACGTGTGCGCACATCACATGTGCGTTCCAACGGAGAACGCATGCTTGTTATCAGATGAACACGTGTCTGCTCCGCATGCAGATGTATGTGTGTTCACCTGTACGCATATGTGTGTTCAACGTGTACACATGTGTGTGTTCAAGTGTGCACACACAACTGGACACGTGTTTGTGTTCCAGGAGAACACATGTATGTTATCAGATGAACGGGTGTGTGGGTATAGGTCTTCGTGTGTTCATTTGTACACATTTGCGTGTTCCACGTGTACACACTTGTGTGTTCACGTGTACACACATGTGTGTTCCAATAGGACACGTGTTTGTGTTTCAGGTGAGTACGTGTTTGTTATCAGATGAACGCACGTAAGTGTGTGTTCCGGGTGCACATATATATATATATGTTTGTGTTCACGTGTACACACATGTGTGTCCCACGTGTACACAGACGTGTGTTCACGTGTACACACTTCTGTGTTCCAACTAGACACGTGTTTGCGTTCCAGGAGAATATGCGTTTGTTATCAGATGAATACTCGTGTGTGTCTGTGTTTCAGCGTGCGCATAAGTGTGTGTTCACGTGTGCAGTACACATGTGTGTGTGTTCCCTTGCGCACATGTGTGTGTTCACGTGTGCACATGTGTGTCTCCCACGTGTACACATATATGTGTGTTCACGTGTACACACATGTGTGTTTTTATCAGACACGTGTATGTGCTCGGGGTGAACACATGTGTGTTTTCAGATGAACACTCGTGTGTGTGTTCCACGTGTACACATATGTGTGTTCATGTGTGCGCACATGTGTGTTCCAATTGGACACGTGTTTGCGTGCCAGGAGAACACACGGTTGTTTTCGGTTTGGCGCAATGGTGTGTGTGTGTGTGTTCCGGGTGCACATTTCTTTGAGTGTTCATGCGTGCACATATGTGTGTTCACGTGCACACATAAGTGTGTTCCACGTGTACGCACATGTGTGTTCCACTTGGACACATGTTTGTGTTCCAGGTGGACAGATGTGTGTTCCACGTGAACACATTGCTATGTGCTAGGTGGATATTTTTGCATCTGACGACATACTTGCTCTCCAGGTGTGCGCATGTGTGTGCTCCAGAAAACGCATGATTGTTTTCGAGGTGCGCGCATGTGCGTGTGTGTGTGCGCGCGCTTTCGGTGAGCATTTATGTTTGCTCACGCCTGCACATATGTGTGTTCCATGGGCTATAATTGCGCACGCGGTGTTCCTGGACACATATTTGTGTTCCAGTGGTATACACATGTGTGTCCCACATGTACGCACATGTGTGCTTTAATCGGACGTGTTTGCGTTGCAGGTGAACACACGTGTGATTCCACGTGTACACACATGTGCGTCTGATTTGGGCACGCGTTTCATTGTGTTCCAAGTGAACACATGTGTGTTCCACGTGAACACATTAGCGGGTTGTAGGTTAACACATATGTGCGTTCCAGGCGTACACGTGTGTGTGTGCTTTACAAGAAGCACACGTTGGTTTTCCAGCTCAACACATGTATGCGTGTGCCAGGTGAATGTATATGTGTGTGTGTTCACAGGTGCACATCTGCGCGTGCCGCGTGTACTGTTTCAGTCGTATACTTATGTGTGTTTCACATGTACACACACACACATGTGTGTCTGAATTGGACATGTGTGTAGCGCGCGGCCACACTTGCGTTCACGCTCGCGCGCTCGCCCGCTATCGCACGCGCTTGCCCCAGTTCCTGCGCGGCGCTGAAGCGTGAAGCACGCCACGCAACGCGTGCCGGGATCATTTTGATTCATTCGTGTTGAAGAGCAGAAAGCCACAAGCTGTTGGCATGTTTGTGCTTGCCCGTGCTCAACTGTTTGGGGTCTCTGCTGGTGTAACGCCTTTGTATTTATTTACACGCTGACGTGACGCAGCCGGCCACCGGCACCCTGCCCTTCCCCGCGGTCTCTGAAGGACGTTCGCTTCATTTCCTTTCAGTTCTCGTCATTTGCAGTCCATACCCTTAATTCCCTTTAAGTCCCATGATTTCAACCTCACTTCCTTTTTGCGTCAGTTTCTTGCTCTCCCCTGCATTTCCGACCGTGTCCTCGCATTTCCTTCATTTCCCTTCATTTGCAGTCCCTCATTCTCATTAGTTCCCGTGATTGCAACCTCACTTCTCTATTTCACATCAGTTTCCTGCACTTCCCTTCATTTCCCTGCAGTTTCTCTTGGTTTCCCCAAAATTCAAATCGTTTCCCTTTATTTCACACAAAATCTGTTCGTTCATGTCCCTCCAGTTTCCTTCATGTTTTTCCATGTCCCTTCATTTCATTTGCCCTCTTCATTTCCTTGCGCTTCCCTTCATTTCCATTAAGTTCCCTTTTTCCCTTCATCTCCCCTTCATTTCCTGCCATTTTCTCTGATGTTCCAGCCTCTTTATTTCGCATCGCCAGCATGCCTTGCATCATCCGCGTCATGCAGGCGTGCAGTGCTGGTGGTGCTGTCCCCAAAGAACACTCGTTTTCCCTCAAAAATCGCCTAAATTAAACAAATCCGCAAATCCTTCGCCCCTTATTGCGGTGGGCGCAGCGCAAAACGTATGCTCATGGTCCTCTCATGGTCGGCCTCATGGGGTGGACGGCCTTATATGTGAAGGTAGCCCTGCGGACTAGGCCTTCGACCCGGTCACGTCCGTTGGCCGGATTTACATTACTTCCCCAACGTCACCAATTTGGTAACGGCGTGAATGTATGTTCTATAGAACATGCACTGCGTGCACGCTTCAGAATAGGCCTGGCCAGATGTCTAACTCGCCAATGTTGGAAGGCCCCAAGGGCTTGAAGAAAGAACCATTCTTTTCTGAGTGTCAAGATGTGTTTTCTCCGAACATGTGAGAATGATTTCCATGGAAGGAAACGCGCGCCAAAACCTTGACAAACGGAACCGCTTGCCAATCGGCAGGCCGACAAGGTCAATGACAGGTTCAGCGAGAGCGACAAGGGTTCAGCGGAGGCTAAGGCAGGTTGGGTAGAGTTGCTGGCCATGAGCCATTGCTGCCTGAATCAGGGCACTGTTTGGCTAGGCGTGCATGGATCTTGAGGCCGAGCCACATAAATGGTGGCCCAGATAGCTGGCAAAACTGGCTTGCCCGCCGGTGTTTAAACGCAGCCTTTGCGCGACATGTAGCATGGTGATTTGTTGGTAGAGGTGGGGGTGGGTGATTGACGTCAGACATCCTGCCCGTGGACTTTCGACCGGCGGCTCCCAGGCCAAGAGCAAGGGTGCCAAGGCAGGGCTGCGGCAAAAGGTCTTGACCCCTTTGATTCGGACGGAGAATCGCAAGGAGACCTATTATTTGCAGGATCTCTCTTTCTCATTTTGATAGGATCAGATCCCTGATTGAGTTTGTTTCCAGTTATTTGTTCCGAGTCACCAGTTGTTTGCATTTGGGCAGCTGCCTGGAGCATTTTCGAAAGGCTGCACTGCCCTGAGTGGCCGCACATCCCTGGCAGGCCAAACCGCGACCAGGCGCAGCTACCTTCGGGCATTTGTCGCTTGGGGCGTTGAAGCCAATGAGCGCGTAGGATTGAGGCAGTGCTTCCCCGGGTTGGATGACGGCCAGCACGAGGGCAGACGTGGGAGCAGATCTGGTCAGAGTCCAGGTGGTCTTTGTCTTGGTGTTGGAAAGGAAAACAAAAGGAAACCACAAACGGTACTGGGAAGACAGGCTCTAAAAGGAATGAAGCCTGCAGACATCATACAACGTAGAAAATCGTGCAGAGCACGCATCAGGAACATGTTCCTCCTTGTAATTTTAAGGGCGCGTCTGTACGGGTCCAGGTCTGCGCAGGAAATGTATCACTGTATCACATCTGGAAAGCTGAACTTGCTCTGCGGCTTTGGTCAGGTCCCCAGCGCCGCGGCTCGAAGGACCCACGCATTCAAGCGAGGCGGTGACGAAGGTTTGGACACTTGGTTGAACGAAAACATGGGCTTGGTTGCTCTTCAACTTGTTGGAAGATGTTTGTCTGAGTAGAAAGTAAACTTTTAAGCAAGGGGTAAACAACCAACTCCAGCTGTTCAAGGTTCTTTGGCCGTGAAATAGTTTGTCGTTTTCACGTGTTCTTTTCCTGCATAGCTCATATGCCGAACTTCCACCCTGATTCAGGTCTGTCATCTTGAACGGAAGGCGGCAGAGGTTTGAGCTTGGTCATGTTGAGATGTTTCCTGTAGGAACCATGATTGTGGCTATCAATATGCAAAATAGGGTTTCACTGCATGGGCAAGTTGGCAAATGGTCAGTAATCTAGCAGGGTTGGCATTGGGCTCCCTATCACAGGAGTTCTTGAGGGAGCAAGTACTGGTTGCGCGCATCGATGTAAAGATTGACAACTCGGCAGGGAGTCCTCGGACGAGTTTAAAAGGTGACTCAGATGCAAAGGGACATGACAGCTTTTGTCGCCGGTTGGACTCTAATGAAACCTGGCAACGTTTGCAGAAGGCCTTTGATTGCAGCACCAAGTGTGCCTTTGTGGATCCTTGAATCGGGCTTTAAAACAACCGCCATAAAAGAGTTCGCATGAAGGGAATCACGACCGGGCCCACATAAGGAGCTTTGACCATGGTGCTGGGTGGAACTTGCGCCACAGGAGCAAGACGAGATGGACCGCAAAGTCGACATGGAACTTCTTCCCGCGAACCCGGCAAAGTGAACGAGAGTGCCTCACGAGGTACCAAGAGTAGTTGGAGCTTGACCCAAAGCCAGACCGAGCCATACGCCACCCCGCTTTGTTTGCTTTTGTTCGGATGTTTTGGCCCTGGACCACCAAGACAAAAGATGTCATTCTCCTTGGCCTCAAGTCCTTGGTTTATTTGTGTAGAAACCCTCGTAGGCTCTTCACCTCAGCCCATTGCCAGGCCTTGACGAGGCTGTGCGTGGCCAATCGGTGGCAGTGAGCTGCGCGGTCATGCATGAGAGCTGCTATAAAGGCAGCCTGAGCAGTGCCTCAGACCTCTGCTTCCGAGTATGGGTGATCAGAGTTCCCCTCCAGAATGATGAGAAGGGTACAAACTTGTGCAACCTTTCCTAGGCTGAAACTCTGAATTGTGAGCGCTGCTTATTTGGGCTTCTCTTCAACCTGGCCGGGTCTTTCCTAGGACACATCCCAACCCGAAGCTTTGCTGCTTCTGTGCGAGGGTCGCTTGCAAGTGGTCCGGTCACCCTGCATCAACACTTTGAGCAGGCATCCTGAGAAGCTCACCCAAGACTGGGTCTCCAAGCAAGGGAACCTGGCCCTAGGGACATGGTGGGCCAGAGAGGAAAACATCCTTTGAGATTCATCATTCTCGCTTGACACATGGTCAAACCGAATGATCTGTTGGTCCAGACTTGCCAGCTTCTCCGCCTCAGTCCTCGCCAGCTTCCTGCTGGAGCGGCCCCGTGATGGCATGTATGTGGGACGGCCCCGAAGCAAGTTGAAATTCGACCTCCCTCGCTTTTGGAGAGGGAACCCAGCTCTGGGGAGTTTGATTGTTTAGCTTGATCACAGGGCCAGCTCTCGCCGCGTGCCTACATGGTGCGCCCGCTTTAATGTAGTTTCACTGAGCTTCGTAGGTTTCTACTGTTCCACCAGTGCAGTTTGAGCCAGTGTCTAAGCGTTGCTAAGGAGAAAAGTGCATCGGAGTGACGATCGTCACATATCGTGACATGGCAACTTGTGCTTCGGCACACGAAAGAGTCTAAGACGGCTTGGTGGCTTGGTGGCTTGGTGGGTGCCACGGTGGCACGACTTGCCGTGAGCTGCCACATGCCAGGGCCTGGCCATCAGTTCAGCTCGCACTCCGTTGTGAATAGCGGTGCGTCAAGAGATGTCAAGAGCAAGGTTGTCTCACCATCTTACCGTCTTACCCTGGCTTTTGCTAGACTGGCCGCTTTGCCTGGGAACCCACACCGGCTCTCCCTTTCGTGAGCTGCCTGTTCCATCAAGATGTCAAGAAGCCTGCAATTGGAGTATTCTCAAGATTGTTCCAGTGACATGGGTTTGGTACTGGACAAAGATTTCATGTCCAAAGGACATAGGATCTGACAAGGGCCTTCATTTTGGACCAACATGCCATTACAATTTCCGGACTGATCTGACACGGGCCTCTTTTTTGGACCTGAAGCTGAGCACTGAGTTGACGCGATATGGCTGTTACATACATGGCTTGTCATGTGCGACGGTCATGGAACACTCTGCCAGCCCAGCAATCAATAGCAAGCAGTCAAGCGAACATTTGTCAGCTAGCACGCTATTTTCCCTGAGTTCAAGCGAGTTTCCACTCCGTCTATGGAAAATACGATAGGTGCAAGTTGACCCACTCATGCCCCAGTAAGCACTTAGAACTGAAGCTAATTATGTCTTCCCACCAACAGCTCTGCACAGAAAGTGACTGCGTTTGACGTGAACTATCAATTAGTTGCATTGAAAAAGCGTGCATCAGTGCATCCCTTCATCGGCCAACATACCTATGGCCACACCGCCATATTTTTGACTTGAGGCTTGGGCAGGCAGATATCCCAGGATACCGAGCAAGCAAACCGACTTCCTTCCAAGAAAGTCGATCCCTTTTTCGGACCAAAAATTCAGAAAGGTGAACTTTGCGTTGCATTTGTGTGCAAAGATTGCGTTGCTCTTGCAGAGAGCCAGGACAGCACTGGTGAACTTCACAGGCCGGATGTGGCAATGTATGGCATGGGGACAAGTCCGAAAGTGAGAGCGGTTTGCCGGTTGACACTAATATGCCAACAACCAGGTCACAAGGATCCTGAGCCACACCCTTGTTTGTAATTTGATTCACGGAATCCAAGGTTGGATTTGATACTATTTCAGGTTTTACATCGGCTTGGTTTGAATTTCGATGTAGACGGAATGGATTCCTCTGTGGTTGTCCCAAGATCTGTGAATGCCCCGCACGTGGAGAGCATACTGCAACTGCGCAACCCTTTACAATACTTGAGTTGCTTGAGGTTACTTTCACATTTACGGGGGTCAAACTATGCATGTCATGGAAGAGTCAATCTGGGATCATTGATTGGTGTTCTTGAGGGTCACACTGTGGTGGTTTCCCAGGGATGTCACGAACCGGCTCCTCCGGCAGCTTCGGAGGACAAGGCCAGTCAGCTTTCTCGAGCTGAAATCCGGGAATGGGCAAAGGGTCCATCAACGGTAATGGAAGCAGTTGGGCATTGCAGATTTGGCCAGCCCGTATACAAAGAAACCCAGGTAATTAGACCAGTACGTTTGCGAGTCAGATGGATCGGTTTGTCTCCGCTGCGGCTGGTTTCTGTGGCAGTAAGGTGGCTTTTAGGTTATACCTATACATATACTATATATATATATATACATATATCTATATATATATATATATGTAGAGCTAGCTAAGCAATCAGCCAGTGGGTTAGTTAGTTGCTTAAATAGGTAGCTTGCTGGTTGGTTGGCTGATTGATTGGTTGGTGCTAGTAGATTAGTAGCTTGGCTAGTCCGTTGAGTTGGTTGGTGGGCCAGGCGTTGCTGAGCTGGTGAGATCATTTTGTTGGCTAGTGAAAAAGCCAGCAAGCCAATCAGTTGGATCCAGCTAGTCTGCTAGTGACTGACGACTGACGGAGTCACTAGGTCAGAGAGCTAAGCTGTTGTTCATCGAGTACATAACTGAATATCTTGCTGGCTGCCTGGCTGCTTACCTTAGATAGCTACTTGCTGATTGCTCAGTTGGTCAGCTAGCTGGCTGGCTGGCTAGCCAGCTGGTTGTGAATGCGAGTAGTGTGCTTGACTGTTAAGTTCTCAGTTAGCAGTTTGCGGCTAGTCAGTCAGTTAGTCAGTTAGCCAGTCAGTCAGTCATTCAGTCAGTTTGTCTGTCTGTCTGGCCAGCCAGTCAATTGCATAGCCGGTCATTTGATAGCTTGCCGCATATTAGTTAACTAACTAACTACCTACTGTAGATGGACTAAATATTCAATCCCTTCGCTATGAATCTACCCCCACGCTCCCAAATCTCAATGTTTGAATGTTCTACACGGACGAGGGCCCAATAATATAAAGTCAGTGCTGACACTTCAACATGGAGGTGCGGGGTGCAGAAATGATACCTTAGGCCTAGGGTTTGAACATTCTGTCCATCTACTGTAGCTTGCTGGTCTGCCAGGGAGCCAGCTAGGCTGGATGAGTAACTCAATGTGGACGATGCAGACAATGCAACACGCATTTTATTCACGGCTGAAATAACGGGAAAACATGTTGCACGTTCAACCCCAGGAGGTTCAGTGCTTCAAGGATGCAAAACAGCTCGTGCACCCTGCACCCCCTGCGTTGCGCCTGTTTCCGAGCCCGCTCTCAAACTGATCCAAGCCCGTGTCTGCCAGGCGTCACGGGCCCAGCTTGAACCCCTGCTGCTTCAAGAACTGCATGCATTCCTCAAAACAGTGACGTCCAATTGGTGCCAGTGCAACGCAAGGTCGTGTCAAGATTCCAGTGGTTTCAGCATTGGCATTTATATGTTACTCCAAAGGGCACCAGAACCCAAAAACAGTCCTTTCACAACGGCGAGTTGGTTGAGAGTTCACTTTGCGTTGTACACTGGCAGTTCCATTCCGGCTTCGATTAGCGAGTCCTTGGCGACCACAGGTCTGGCGAGCAGGCCATGCTGAAGTCGGGCGCCTGTTCAATGACCAGAGACACTAAATTCTGCTTCAGCAAATTCTACGAATGGTCCAATCTGGCCGCTTGCCACCCTTGGTTCCATGAACAAAATTATTCTCTCTGCAGATTGCTAATGCTTGCCGCATGTCTCGCTCCACTTTTCAGGCTGTTGTGCTACAGTTCGAACTTTGCAGCCCAGCTGAACTCAGGTTGATTGAGAGCAGATGCGCAGGCGTGGGCATTTAAGTTTGCCTTGTGCATATGTAGGCCATGAAAGGTTGAATCTAAAACCAGAAGAATGGGTGAAATAATATGATAGTGAGCGAAGCATGCACTCTGCGCTAGCGGGCTCTGCGCAAGTTCACTGCAAGGTTCTTTGTGCAAATGGTCAGAGTTCTCTCAAGTTCTTTGAGCAAGTTCTGCGAGCAAGTTCCCCGTGCAAGTTTCTCTGCGAAAGTTCTTGGCTCGAATTTCTCTGCGCAAGTTCTCCGTGCAAACTTCTTTCCCCAAGTTTTTGGCTCAAAATTCTCCCCTCCAAGCGCTCTGTTCAAGTTATATGCGCAAATATCTTTGCGAAAGTTCGTCAGTTCATTTTTTCTGCTCAAGTTATTGCATACCCAAGTTCTTGATGCAAGTTTCTCTGCGCAAAACATCGGTGCAAGCTCTTGGGCGAGCTCTCAGCGCATGTTGCTCTGTGCAAGTGGTCTTGTGCAAGTTTCTGTGCACAAGCTCTCTGGCGCAACATCTCTCTGCAAGTTGCTCTGTGCAAGCTTTGCGCGTGCGCGTTCTCAATGCAAAGGGTAGTTCTCCACGCAAGTACCGCCGAAAGTCTAGATTATGCATGTCGACCACGCCGATTCCCGCCGAAAGTCGCACGCGCGTACCTTAAAAGTAGAAACGGTCCTCAGTCTTGCACATTGCGCTGCAGAGGGGTGTGGTCCCACCGCACCGCCTCAAAAGAATACTTCAGTGTGCTCGTGCGAGTTTGCTCGTGCAAGTTTTATCGTGCAAGTGTGCTCGTGAGTTTGCTCGAGTGACTATGCGTGGGCTTTCGTGTCTCTTCGCTATGCATGGGCTCTCGTGCATCTTGCTCTGCATGTCCGCTCGACATGTGCTCTCGTGTCGGTTGCTATGCGTGGGCTCTTGTGCGTCTTGCTCTGCATGTGTGCTCGGCATGTGCTCTCGTCTCTTGCTATGCACCGGCTCTCGTGCCTCTTGCTCTGCGTGCATGGGCTCTCTTGCATCTCGCTCTGCATGTCCTCTCATTTATCTTGCTGT